CGCCAACCTCCCCCGTCCAACGCAGTGTGGGCGACGTCTCCGGTACAGAGACACGGGGCCAGAGGTTGAGCTGATGTGCGGCGTACCTGACCGCAAACGGCCACAAAAAATGGGGGGCAGCCGCATGGATCATGAAGGTACGAGCGACCTCCATGACTAAGCCAATGCGGCGCTCAGCAACCCCATTCTGCTGCGGAGAGGCTGGAAGCGTGAACGTCTGGCGGATGCCGTGCTCCGCACAGTAGGCTGCCAAGAGGTCTGAGGAGAACTCACCACCTCTGTCAGAGTGCAGACGAAGGACAGGAAAGTCCGACTGGAACCGCTCGCGGAGCTAGAGACGAACATCGCGGATCCAGGGGATCAAAACATCTGGGACGTCCCCCTTGCGCTGCAGAAGGGGCAGCGGCAGTGCCTGATGCGTGATCAAACAGAGAAACTCCGTCTTTGGCATCCGTCATAAGAAATAGCTGCAGGTCGTCAAGCCAAGTGGCAAACTCTATTAAGCAACCGTCAGGTTCAAACGCGAGAACGTTAAGCGTCGCCATTACAGCAGCGTAGGCAAAGGCAGCAGACCACAGCAGCTATCAGGCTCACAAGTCAGGCTGGCGCAATGGATGCAAGGCGCAAGGCAGGCAGGCAGGCCAGCAGGCAGGCAGGCAGGCCAGTAGGCAGGCAGGCAGGCCGGCAGGTGCAAGGCAGGAAGGTGCAAGGCAAGGCAGGCGCAAGGATGGCAGGCAAGCCACAAGACTCAAGGCAGGCAGACAAGCCAGTAGGCAGGCAGGCAGGCCGGCAGGTGCAAGGCAGGAAGGTGCAAGACAAGGCAGGCGCAAGGCAGGGCAGCAAGTGCGCAGGGCGAGGCGGCAGCGTGCAGGCAGGGCAGAGTGCAGCAGCGACAGGCTGCCCGGGGCTGCAAGCTGCGCGCGGCTGCGGGCTGCTCGGGGCGACGTGCTGCGCGCGGCTGCAAGCTGCGCGCAGCCGCGAGTGGCGGGTGTCAGAATCAACGAGTGATTGAATTGAACTAGGAAGGTTGGTGGTACAAATGTGAAACCCTAAAGTATTGTACCCCCTAAAGGCTAACCCACTGTAGCCTACACAGCAACAACATATATAATGTTTGACACACCCCCATAGGCTAAGTGGGGTAGAGCAAGGAGTCACAAGACCAGTCAAGAAAGAGAACGCAAGCTCAGGGTGGATCACGAAGTCACCACACACACTGAGCACAAGCAAAGAGCTACAAGGCCAGTTCACATGCAGAGGCATATATGCAATACAAACATCACAGTGATCTCTACCTAGCAATGCAAGCATGCAGGTATATATATATGGATCACAGTACAGGCAAAGTCTGCAGCAAGTGAGGAAAAGTGGGCACAAGCCCTAACAGAGTGCAGAAACGCTGATGATCACCAGACTGAAGTGCCTTGGTGAATATATCAGCAGTGTTGGCCTGAGTGGCCACGTAACGCAGACGAAGCTGACCACGCTGCTGCAACTCTCAAGCCAGGAAGTAACGTAGAGCGATGTGCTTCGTTCTGTGCTCCAGTCTGTGCTCCTCACACACGACAATGGCAGCCTTGTTGTCGACGTACAGCACTGGAGGAGAACAAGGCCGCTCTCCCAGGTCGGTCAGCAGGTAGGTGAGCCAGCGTAACTCCTGTGCAGCCATGGCTGTGGCGTAGATCTCAGCCTCACAACTGGAGCTGAGATCTGAAGACGAACGCATAGAACGCCACGAAACTGAGCCAGAGCCAAGGCTGAAGGTGTAACCCTGTGACGACCGCTGAGTAGCCTGGTCGTCAATCCAAGAACCCTCTGAGTGCCCAGTGAGAACAACTGAGCTCCCTCCTCCAAGCACGAGCCCCATGCCCGATGTACTGCACAAGTAGCGCAATACCCTCTTTGCAGCATCCCAGTGCACCTTTCGGTGCCTACCAGGAGCCACGTAGCGGGCCAGAAGGCCAAGAGGGTACGCTAGGTCAAGACGAGTGCAAATCATCAGGTACATGAGGCAACCAACTAGCTCTGGGTAAGGACCACTCGGCTCTACGGACTCATCAGAAGGCAGAGCTGAGAGCGAGTGACCTGTAGCCAGAGGAGTGGCCTGTGCTGAGGACCAAGTGAAGCCGAAGCGCTGAAGGACCTCCTGCACCATGTGTGACTGAGTCAGTGTGATGGTGCGGCGTGCTCTGTCCCGGGTGATCTGCAAGCCAAGGTAGCTGCGCAGTTCACCCAGGTCTGTGCACGTGCGTCTCTTCTGCAGCTCCGACTTCACGTGGGCGAGAGCCTCAGTGTCAGCAGTGGCAAAGACCAAGTCGTCGACGTACACGAGGATGTAGAACAGCGGCAGCGAAGTGTCGGTGCGCAGAAACAGCGACGGGTCAGCAGTAGAAGGCGCGAACCCAAGTGCCACAAGAGTAGTCCTCAGTGTGTCGTGCCACTCACGTGGCGCCTGGCGGAGACCGTATACCGGCCGCCGGAGGCTCCACTGGGTACCAGGAGGAAACGACCCAGTGAAGCCAGGAGGGCGGCGCAGCCAGATCTCCTCGTGCAGGCTGCCCCTGCAAGAAAGCTGTGCTGAAGTCAAGAGAGTGAAGCTCGTAGTCACGCTGAGCAGCAACGTACAGTAGCACCCGAAGAGTGGTTACCTTCGGGGTGGGGGAGAAGGTCTGAAAGAAGTCTACTCCCTCTCGCTGACTAAAGCCTCGAGCAACGTAACGAGCTTTGAAGACAGGCGGAGAACCCGACGGCCGCTTCACCCTGAAAATCCACATGCCACTGACGATGTTTGCCCCAGGAGGGGGAACTTCGTCCACGTAAGTGCCAGTGGACTTCCAGGAAGCCATCTCTGCGTCCATGGCTGACTACCACTGAGAGGAGTACTCACCCGCGATCGCCTCAGCGTAAGAGCGCGGGGTCGGGATGTCTAGAGCATCCGGGTCTCCCTCAGGGGCAATCAACATGGACACGAGATGAGGTGCAGCGGCTGCAAGACACTCAAGGTCCTCCTGTCTATCCTCAAGGACGTCTGTGCCTAGAGCACACTCACCCTCGACGGGCGGAGGACAGACAGACTCAGACTCAGCAACAAGACTCGCAGCGCAGTCTAGACGACAGCGAGCAGCAAAGTCGACAAGCTCAGCAACTAGGGCAGACGCAGCAGCAGACTCAAAGGAAGGGTCAGTGACAGCAGTGGCCAGGAGACGCGTGACAGTAGGACTGGCAGCACGAAGAGAGTCAGACTCCGGGTCAGCAAGAACAGGAAGAGAGGACGCAGGAGGAGACGGCAGAGGAACACGCTGTGGAGCAGTGGAAGGACGCAGAGTCATATAGTGTGTGCCAGGCACAGGTGGAGGACGCTCACGTGGAACACAGCGACCAGCGCGAGCAGCACGAACAGGTGACACAAGACAAGACACAGGCAACACAGGACGAGACTCTGGCTCACGACGCTCTGTAAGACCGCCTGTCGGACCAGTGTAGGGATTAGGACCAGGAAGTGGCGAGGCAGGCGGTAGCTGTGACTGCGACTGGACAGGCGGAGGACACTCTAAGGAGGGAGGAGGACTAGGAGGAGGCGGCTGACCAAGAACCTGCTGAAGGAGCGGAACGAAGTACGGCCGCGGCCATGAAGTGCCCCCAGAAGCAGCAGAGACAACACCAGAACCTCCAGCCGAACCAGCACCAGCAGCACCTCCAGCGGCTCCAGAACCTCCAGCAGCACCAGCAGCACCTCCGGTAGCTCCAGAACCTCCAGCAGCACAAGCAGCACCTCCAGCAGCTCCGGTACCTCCAGCAGCACCAGCAGCACCTCCAGCAGCTCCAGAACCTCTAGCAGCACCAGCAGTACCTCGAGCAGCTCCAGAACCTCCTGCAGCTCCAGTACCTCCAACAGCACCAGCAGCACCTCCAGCAGCTCCAGTACCTCCAGCAGCAGCAGGGCCTCTGTCAAACTCATATGCTATAGTCTGTGTAGGCTGTAGTGGGGTAGACAATATGGGGTACAACACTTTTAGGTTTTCCTACTTGTACCCACCTGCTTGCTAGTTCATTCATTCCTTCCTCATTTCTTCACACGGTATAGAGCAGGTTCCCTAGTGGGAACGCTTCTCATGGCCCACCACTGAATTTTTTTTTTCCTGACTGGAGCACGAGTCGTACCTGCCCGAGGCGCGCCCCATTGGCCGCCCTCACGTCGCCTCTCACGGCCCCCTTGCGCCACCCTTAGCGGCCCTGTCGCCACCCCTTACGGCCCCGTCGCTGTCCTTCGCGGCCCCGTCGCCGCCCCCTCTAGGCCCCTCGCGGCCCCTTCGCGGCCCCGTCGCCGCCCCTAGCGGCCCCGTCGCTGCCCTTCGAGGCCCCTCTCGGCCCCTTTGCGGCCTTGTCGCCGCCCCTAGCGGCCCCGTCGCCACCCCTATCGGCCCCGTCGCCGCCCCTATCGGCCCCGTCGCCGCCTCTAGCGGCCCCGTAGACGCTCCTACCGGCCCCGTCACCGCCCTTTGAGGCCCCTCGCGGCCCCTTCGCGACCCCGTCGCTGCCCCTATCGGCCCCGTCGCCGCTCCTAGCGGCCCCGTCGCCACCCCTAGCGGCCCCGTCGCAGCCCTTTGAGGCCCCTCTTGACCCCTTTGCGGCCCCGTCGCCGCTCCTAGCAGCCCCGTCGCCGCCCCTATCGGCCCCGTCGCCGCCCCTAGCGGCCCCGTCGCCGCCCTTTACGGCCCCCCTTCAGCTGCCAAGCGGTCGAACCACCAAGCCGCCGAGCCGCCCAGCCGCCGAGCTGCCCAGCAGCCGAGCCGCCCAGCAGCCGAGCCGCCCAGCAGCCGAGCCGCCCAGCAGCCGAGCCGCCCAACAGCCGAGCCGCCCAGCAGCCGAGCCGCCCAGCAGCCGAGCCACCCAGCTGCCGAGCCGCCGAGCCGCCGTCGAGCCGCTACTGTTCCTACCGGCGTGCACCGGCCCTTCCCACCCGGACTGGTGAGAGCACTCCCTGTTAGACCACTGCTGTCATGGCTACCCCCAGTGTCCTTACCTTTGATGCTGAGGGTCGTGCTGTTGACTTTGAGGTCTGGGTCGATGACCTCCAGCTCTTCCTACAGTGCTATAGGGCAGACGGACTCTCCATGTTTGATCTCACCTCTGGTGCCTCTCCTGCCCCGCCTGCTACTGCTGACAGCACTGTTCGCTCACATAGGGCCACACGCGATGCTGCTGCCCGTCTTGCTGTGCGTCGCCACTTACCGACCGCTGAGCGTGCGCACTTTAGTCAGTACAAGAGTGCTAAGACCTTGTACGACGCTGTAGTTGCACGCTACTCTTCCCCTGCCACTGCTGCTCTTAGCCGCCTCATGCTGCCGTACCTGTTCCCTGACCTTGCTGCCTTTCCCACAGTCGCTGACCTCATTACGCACCTTCGCACTAGTGACACTCGCTACCGCGCTGCGCTTCCTGCTGAGTTCTGTGCCAAGAACCCTCCCCCCATGTACATCACCCTCTACTACATAGTCACCCGACTCCCTGACTCCCTTCGCTTAGTCAAGGACCACTTCCTCTCAGTTTGCCCCACCATACTCACCGTTGACCTCCTCGAGGAGCGCCTCCTAGCAGCAGAGAAGAGTATAGTCGCTGTAGGAGCCTCTCGTGGTGACCCTCGTACCCCCGTCTTTGAGGGGTGTTCCCCCTCCCCCCTCTTGCTTCTGCTGCTGCGGCCGACCTCATTGGTTTCGAGTCGGTCGGCGCTGCGTCTGCCCCTAGCGGGAGACGCCGCACAGGCAAGGGCAAGGGGGGCAAGGGCGCTGGAGGGGCTGGCGGGGGCGGTGGAGGTGGCGGTGGAGGCAGTGGAGGGGGTGGGGGTGGTGGTGGGAGTGGTGGCGGGGGTGGAGGTGTCGGTGGCAGCAGTGGAGGCGGAGGAGGCGGCGGCGGTGGCGATGGGAGCGGAGGCGGCGGCGGTGGAACTGGTCGCGGCTCTGCACAGAGGAGTGGCTCCGGTGGTGGTCAGCGCCAGCAGCAGCAGCGCACTCATGAGACCACGTCCCCCCAGCAGCTTCGTGAGTGGTGCGCTGCGCGTCAGCGAGGTGGGGGTACTGGTCCCTGTACCTACGTCCTCCGTACCGGCGACCGCGCTGGTGAGCAGTGCGGGGGCTCGCACTCCACCCAGCGCTGCTTCGGCCGCCTGACGGACACTTGGCGTCACTAGTTCCGTGACCCCACTGAGATCCCTCGCTGGGGAGAGCTGTCTAGGGCGGGGGTTGCTATCTTTGATCTTGACTATGATGCTATTCTTGCTGCCATGTATGCTGTGTCTGCTAGAGATGAGGGTGACTGTTACCTGTGTGTTCCGCTTGACCCGAGCATTGAGGCTGCTGCTCTAGGTGCTGGTGAGGCTGCTCCTCTAGGTGCTAGTGCGTGTGCTGCCCCAGGTGCTGGTGAGTCTGCTCTCTCAGGTACCACGTCGGCTCAGGCCTTACACACCTTCACCCTTGACTCGGATGCTTCCCGCTTAGTCGGTCGTTTGCGGTCTCCCTGGTGGACCCCTCTGGGGGTTCTGTCCTTGCTTGCTTCTCCAATGTCTTACCGTGTCCGGCAGCCCCCTCTGGCACCCTGTCAAGTCTCTACCTCCCCTTGTTCTCTACGAACTTGGTGAGTGGTGCTGACCTACTGGATGGGGGGGTTGACCAGTTCACTCCTGCGAGTCAGCGGGTGACCCACTACACGTGTGCTCGGACCGGCCGACACTTGGCCACATTTACCCGTCGGCCGGGGTCGAGCCTGTACACACTTACTACTGAGTCTGCTCCGGTCGCTGAGTCTGGTCAGGTAGCTGCGTCGAGTCAGGTGTTTACTGCAGAGTCCAAGTCTGGTCCTGAGTCTGCTCCCTGCTCGTGTCGTCTCCTGTCCCACCAGACTCTCCTTTGGCACCACCGCCTTGGTCAACCCTCCCTGCCTCGTCTCCGAGGCATGGCCTCCCGTGTCCTTGTCTCTGGTCTTCCCCGGTCTCTCCCTCCCCTACCTCCGGGGCCTGCCCCTACCTGCGTCCCCTGCGTCGAGGGGCGACACCGCGCCGCCCCTCACTCCTCCGAGTTTCCTCCGACAGAGGCTCCGCTGCAGACTCTTCACATGGAGCTGCAGAAGAGACACACGTGCACAGACCTGGGTGAACTGCGCAGCTACCTTGGCTTGCAGATCACCCGGGACAGAGCACACCGCACCATTACCCTAACTCAGTCACACATGGTGCAGCAGGTCCTTCAGCGCTTCGACTTCACGTACTCCTCGCCTCAGGCCACTCCTCTGTCTACTCGCCACTCGCTCTCAGCTCTGCCTTCGGATGAGTCCGTAGAGCGAGTGGCCCGTACCCAGAGCTTGTTGGCTGCCTCATGTACCTGATGACCTGCACACGACCTGACCTAGCATACCCTCTTAGCATCTTGGCACGCTATGTTGCTCCTGGGAGACACCGACCAGAGCACATGGCTGCAGCGAAGAGGGTGTTGCGCTACTTGTGCAGTACGTCGAGCATGGGGCTAGTGCTTGGAGGGCAACGTCCAGTGGTCCTCACAGGACACGCAGACGCTTCTTGGGCTGACGACCAGGCTACGCAGCGGTCGTCAGAGGGTTACACCTTCAGCCTTGGCTCCAGCTCTGTTTTGTGGCGATCTACCCGCTCGTCTTCTATTCTCGGCTCCAGCAGTGAGGCTGAGATCTACGCGGGGGCCATGGCTGCACAGGAGCTACGCTGGCTCACCTACCTGCTGACTGACCTAGGAGAGCCGCCTCGTTCTCCTCCAGTTCTGTACGTAGACAACAAGGCCATGCTGGCCTTGTGTCAGGAGCACAGACTGGAGCACAGAACGAAGCACATTGCTCTTCGCTACTTCCTTGCTCGTGAGCTCAGTAGCGTGGTCAGCTGCGCATTGCTTACGTGGCCTCTGAAGCCAACACTGCTGGTATCTTTTCCAAGGCACTTCCGCCTTGTGATCATCAGCGCTTCTGTACGATGCTAGGTCTTGTGCCTACTTGGCCTCACTTGCTCACTTCTTGACCTTGCTTGTACTGTGATCTTTCTATACCTGCACTTGCTTGTTTACCTTTATATATGATCTTGCATGTGAACTGGCCTTGTGGCCTTGCTCTTGTGCTCGGACTGTGTGGTGACGTTGTGATCCACCCTGAGCTTGCTTTGCTTTGCTTGACTGGTCTTGTGACCTCTTGTTCTCCCCCACTTTTATGGGGGTGTGTTAAACTCATATGCTATAGTCTGTGTAGGCTGTAGTGGGGTAGACAATATGGGGTACAACACTTTTAGGTTTTCCTACTTGTACCCACCTGCTTGCTAGTTCATTTATTCCTTCCTCATTTCTTCACAGCCTCCAGCTGGCGGTACCTCAACACCAGGAGCTCCACTCCTGAGGCTGCAGCGCCGAGCGTACCACTCACGTAGCCGCTGAGGGGAGGGAGGCTCCGGCTGCGACAGTGCACCCGCAGGGCCACCAGCCCCGACTCTAGCAGACCCCCCAGCTCCAGTAGCCCCACGACGGAGGCTGTAGCGCTCGGAGTACCACTCACGCAGCTGCTGTGAAGAGGGAGCGCCAACAGGTGCAGTACGGTCAGTCTCAGAACCCCCAGCCTCAGCTCCTCTAGGCTCAGCACCCCCAGTCGCAGCACCCTCAGGCTCAGCACCCGCAGTCTCCGCACCCCCAGACTCTGCACCCCCAGTCTCCGCACCCCCAGGCTCAGCACCCCCAGTCTCAGTACCCCTAGACCCAGCACCACCAAGCTCAGCACACTCAGCACCTCGCGCAGGACCAGAGTCAACAGCTACCTCGACAGGCTCGACCGGGTCTACCTGGGAAACACTTGAGGGAGCAGCACCTTGGGGAGGGAGAGGGTCTACCGACGGGACACCTGAGGTGAGGAAGAGCGGCGGGGGGGGGGGAGCGGGGCAGTGCGGTAGGGGAAGAGACGGTAAAAGGGTACCGACTCGTCAAAGGTGACATCCTGAGAGGCAAAGACACGACGCGAGGTGGGGTGGTAAAACTGCCAGCCAGGCGCGTCAGGGACAAAGCCAAGGAAGACACAGGGAATGGCACGAGAGGAGAGCTTGTTCGCGGACGTATCGCGGACAAAGGCTCGACATCCCCAGACTCGGAACACTGACGCATCACCAACCTCCCCCGTCCAACGCAGGGTAGGCGAGGTCTCCGGAACAGAGACACGGGGCCAGAGGTTGAGCAGATGCGCGGCGTACTGCACTGCAAACGGCCACAGGAAATGGGGGGCAGCCGCATGGATCATGGAGGTACGAGCGACTTCCATGACGAGACCAATGCGGCGCTCAGCAACCCCATTCTGCTGCGGAGAGGCCGAGAGAGTGAACGTCTGGCAGATGCCGTGCTCCGCACAGTAGGCTGCCAAGAGGTCAGAGGAGAACTCGCCACCTCTGTCAGAGTGCAGACGTAGGACAGGAAAGTCCGACTGGAACCGCTCGCGGAGCTGGAGACGAGCAGCGCGGATCCAGGGGATCAGGACATCAGGGACCTCACCCTTGGTACGCAAGGGGAAGACCGTGGTGAAGCGCGTGTAGTCGTCGACGACCAGCAGAAAGTACCGCTCGTGGCCCTGTCCCCGGACGCGGGCGGGGCCCCACACGTCCAGGTGGAGGGTCCGCAGGGGAGCCTCTGTGGGAGGGAACGAGGAAGAGTGAGGAGCGGCGTGCTGCCGCCCCTCGACACAGGGAAGACAGGGAGGAGCAGGCGAGGGTGGCAGGGGAGGGAGAACCCTGGGAAGACCAGAGACAAGGTACCTGGAGTGCATGCCGTGAAGGCGCTGCACTGACGGGTGACCAAGGCGGTGGTGCCAGAGGACAGTCCTGTGCGACAGGGAGCGACACGAGCAGGGGACCGACAGCTGACTTGACACAGACGCAGACGCAGCTACCTGAGGGGACTTAGTGGTCAGTGTGTACAAGTCCGACCCCGGCTGCCGAGTGAAGGTAGCCAGGTGACGACCCGTCTGGGCACACGTGCAGTGTGTCACACGCTCGTAGGCAGGGGTGAACTGGTGAACACCCGCGTCCTGGAGCGCGGAACCCGCCACCAAGTTCTTAGAGAACGAGGGGAGGTAGAGGCCCTACAGCATGCCAGACGGGACAGCAGGACAAGGGAGGGCAGTGGTGGAGGTCGCAAGGACCGGACCCCCTGAGGGGTCACCCAGGGAGACAGCAACCGGTCTAGGAAGCTGCTCTAGGGCAGTGCGGTCGCGAAAGAAACAGCGGGAAGCACCTGAGTCCAGTGTGAAGGTGTGCAGTGCCTCAGTAGGTGCGGTACCAGCAGACGCAGACGCACTAGCACCTAGGGCAGCAGCCTCACCAGGACCTAGAGCAGCAGACGCACTAGCACCTAGAGCTGTAGTCTTACTGGTCCAAATACCCGGGTCGGGCGGTACACTCAGGTAACAGTCACCCTCAACACTAATAGTCAATGCATACATAGCAGCAAGGATAGCATCAGAATCAAGAGCAAAGATATCAATCCCCTCCTTAAGCAGATCAGCCCAGCGGGGCAGCTCAGAGGCGTCAAGAAACTGCTCGCGCCAGGCATCGTCGAGGCGAAAGAAACAGCGCTGCGCCGTGTGAAACCTCCCACAAGTCTGGCCAGTGCGGTCACCTGTGCGGATGACGTACGGGCAGGTACCTCCACCCCCAGACCCCCCACGCTGAGAGTACCACTCACGGAGCTGTTGGGGCGACTGGGGCTCGCTGGGACGCTGCTGCTGCTGCCTCTGGCCGCCGCCGAACCCGCCACGCTGCACCGCTCCACCGCGCCCTCCACCAGCTCCACCGCCGCCACCACTGCCACTACCACCACCTCCACCTCCACCACCGCCGCCTCCACCTTCCCGGCTCCGCCACTGCCCCCCCCACCACCAACACCACTCCCACCACTGCCGCCACCGCCACCGCCCCCTCCACCCCCTCCACCACCACCTCCCCCGCCGCCGCCTCCTCCACCCCGGCCCCCCTTGCCCCTGCCGCCCTTGCGCCTCCCATTGGGAGCGAACGCAGCTCCGACCCCCTCAGCACCGAGGTAGTCGACAGCAGTAGCAGATGCAATGGAGGGGAGAAGGGGGGAAGGGGAGCATCCCTCAAAGAATGGAGTGCGAGGGTCGCCACGAGAGGCACCTACAGCTACAATGCTCTTCTCAGCTGCTAGGAGTTCCTTCTCGAGCAGGTCGACAGTGAGGTCTGTGGGGGAGAGAGCGAGAAAGTGGTCCCAGACAGCGCGAAGAGAGTCAGGGAGGCGAGTGACCAGGTGGTAGAGGGTGAGGTACATCGAGGGGGGGGGTTCTTGGCTAGGAAATCGGGGGGGAGTGCGGCACGGTAGCGGAGATCACTAGTACGGAGGTGAGTGATGAGGTCAGCTACTGTGGCAAAGGCAGACAGATCGGGGAAGAGGTAGGGCAGTGAGAGACGGCCTATCGCAGCAATGGCAGGGGAGGAGTAGCGGGCAACTACAGCATCGTACAGCTCCTTTGCGGTCTTATGCTGGCCGAAGTGCTCGCGCTCATCTAACGGCAGGTGGCTGTAAACGGCTAGGCGAGCATGGGCGTCACGAGTCTGCCACTGTGAGCGAGCAGTACTGTTAGCAGTAGCAGCAGGTGCGGGAGCAGCGCCGGACGTGTGGTAATAGAGGGAAACATCGTCCTTGGCAGTGATCTGGAGGTACAGGTGAAGGTCATCGAGCCAGACATCGAACTTAATCGGACGGCCCTCAGCGTCAAAGGTGAGTACAGTGGGACTGGCCATAGTGGTAGTAGCAGTAGCAGCAGTAGCAGTAGCAGTAGCAGCAGTAGCAGAAGCAGGAGCAGTAGTAGTAGCAGTAGCAGTACGTGGGGCGGCGCGGCTCGGTCAGGGCGGCGCGATTCGGGCGGCGCGACTCGGGCGGCGCGACTCGGGCGGCGCGGCTCGGGCAGGTAGGGCGGCGCGACTGCGGGCCTATGCCATGTGCTAGGCGGCGGCCTACGTGGGGGCGGCGGCCTACGCGGTGGCGGCAGCTGACGCGTGTGCGGCGGCCTACTCGTGGGCGGCGGCCTTCGTGGGCTGAGCGGCGGCCTACGCGGCAGTCGACGGGCAGCACGCACGCTGCTCTAGGGGCCGCGCGAGGCCAGGGCGGGCTACGCGTGGGCGGCGTCGACGGCGTGGGCGGCTACCTGGTCGCGCGCACGTGAAACGGGCCGCGCGCGGGTGGCTAGCGGGCTACGCGGGCAAAAAACGGGCCGCGCGGGCGACTAGCGAGCGACGCGGCCGAAAAAGCGGGGCGCTCGAGGGCGCACTAGGAGTGAAGCGCACGAGGGCGCGATTAGGAGAAGACGCACGAGGGCGCAACTAGCGGAACGATGGGCCTGTTAAGAATGCTAGGAAGAGGTTGGCTTAGGAGCCATAGCTTAGGAGCGTTGGAGATTGAGTTCGAGTGAGTAGGGTTAGGAGAGTCGAGAAAGTTTCAACAAAGAGGGGTTTCACTATAGAGCGAGCAGTACAAATAGGCAAGATGAAAGGTGTACCACCACAACAGAACATTATATAACTACAGTAGTCTACACTACAGGCAGTTACAAAACAATATATAGGTTGATATATTATTCTGACAGGGCCCTTAGGTAGGTGGTCCTAGGGCTAGGACCTACGCTCTTAATACCATGTCAGAATCAACGAGTGATTAAACTAGGAAGGTTGGTGGTACAAATGTGAAACCCTAAAGTACTGTACCCCTTAAAGGCTAACCCACTATAGCCTACACAGCAATAACATATATAATGTTTGAGAGCGGGCTGCGCGTGGCAACGGGCTGCGCGCGGCTGCAGGCTGTCCGCGGCGTCAGGCGGCAGGCTGCGGGCTGCGCGCGGCTGCAGGCGACGGGCGGCTGAGGCGGGCAGCGCGACGCACTAAGCTGCAGCGGGCCGTTCGCGAGGTGCAGCAGTGGGGCGCGCTAAAAAAAAAAAAGAATTTTAACAGGCGCGCGCAGCCGAGGCGCGCGCGGGCAGCAGGCAAGGCAGGTAAGGCTGTAGGGGTAGACAATGGTGGGCCCGAATCTCAGGTCCTAAGGACCTATTGCTCTAGTTACCATGTTAAGAATATTAGCCAAGAATGAGTAGATTAGGTCAAGATGGGGGTACAAGGCTAGAATGTCGAGAGAAATTCTTTACCCCCTAAAGCTAGCCCCAATACAGCCTAACTAACAATAAACATATAAATTGACAGATTGTGTTTGGGGGAGGCCCATCCACAGTTTAAGTTCAAGAAGAAGGGGGGACAGTGGGTTAGGGGAGGTGCAGGTACGCAGGAACTCCGGGGAAGGCTCCAAACTGCCCGTTAGGAATCCGGGCGAGGGAAATCCCAACCTTGAAAATCTCTGAGCTGAGAAAATACCAACCCTAAATCCTCGGGGAAAACGGACAAATGTCCGTGAATCGACAGGCCTAGTTTTGATGCGAGTATATGACAAAGAGGTTGGTCTGGACCAGAGGTTGTACAGTAACGACAAGCGCTAAGTAATCAGTCAGAGTTCCTCTTTTCTGGCCCAATTTGTTTTCAAAAGTCAGAATTAGGGTGTGTCATGCAGGGTGTATATTGGGCTTTAACACCTTTTTCACGTAATTGTGTTTTTTTCCCAAATGTGCTGCCCGCACGTACAGAAAATGGTTTGTGTCTGCCTGAAGCGAACCTTTTTTTTTCACGCGGACATAGAGTCCCGCCCGAACACAAACCGTGTGACATATCAGAAGTCGCGAGCAGTAACCCTGTTGCACTGCGAATTTCATTACTTAATTCGGCGGGATATTCTCACGCCCGTGCGCCATGGGAAAAATGTGAAGGTTAGAACGAGGAATGATGATTAAGAAGAGAACAGTACAAGGTTTGTATAGGCAAAACCTATCAGGGCTGTACCCCATAAGGAGTGCCCCACTACAGCCTAGAGTATAGTTCTGACACACCCCCATAGACAAAGTGGGGGACAAGCACCAGAACAAGGCAAGGTCAAGCTCAGGGTGGATCACGACGTCACCACGCATTCTGAGCACAAGCAGAGTTATACCGTAGACCCCCGGATATAAGACCCTAGGGTCTTAACATAATCGCACAAAAAATATGGGGGGGGTCTTCACAAATGTCACCAATTTTATAAGACCCGGCTCTTAATACATGGCATTTTTTTAAAGGATATATAGCATGGGTACATGCTTGTTATGTATCTTTGTGTCATATTGACTTTGCAGCTTGGGCTCGACCACGGGTGAGGCCGCGAATGTCCTCACCCTCGAGTGTTTGCCAGGTGGCATCACTCTCGCCACTGGACAGAGTAGGAATCATCACATTAGCCGTGGCGAAAAGTACAAATATTGACGGCGTTGACTGCGCGATACCCACGCGCTTGCATTGGAAGGGGAGAAAATGTGTTCTCTCTATGAAATCGCTTTGATTTTGTTATAACAACTAGCAAATCCAACATTCTTCCTAAGGATGGGGGGGGTCTTAAAATGATTTCACTAGAAAAGGGGGGTATAACTACCAACGACCCATATAGAGTACCCCCCCCCCCTGTCATAAAGACCCGGGGGTCTACAACTGGAGGGGGTCTTATATCCGGGGGTTTACGGTATATTAAGGTGAACAAACAGTACAGTGATCTCAACCTAACAAGTGTAAGCATGCAGGTGCAGGTATATATAGATCACAGTACAAGCAAAGTTTTCATGAGGTGAGCAAGTGAGGTCAGATAGGCACAAGACCTAACAGAGTACAGAAACGCTGATGATCACAAGGCTAAAGTGCCTTGGTAAAGATATCAGCAGTGTTGGCCCGAATGGCCACGTAAGCAAGACGAAGCTGACCACGCTGCTGCAACTCTCGAGCAAGGAAGTAGCGTAGAGCGATGTGCTTCGTTCTGTGCTCCATCTGTGCTCCTGACACAAGGCAATTATTGCCTTGTTGTCGACGTATAGAACTGGAGGAGAACGAGGCGACTCTCCCAAGTCGGTCAGCAGGTAGGTGAGCTAGCGTAACTCCTGTGTAGCCATGGCCCCAGCGTAGATCTCAGCCTCACAATTGGAGCTGAAAACAGAAGACGAGCGGGCAGACCACCACGAAACAGAACTGGAATCAAGGCTGAAGGTGTAACCTGTGACGACCGCTGCGTAGCCAAGTCGTCAACCCAAGAAGCATCTGCGTGACCAGTGAGGACAACTCGAGCCCGTCCTCCAAGCACGAGCCCCATGCCCGACGTACTGCACAGGTAGCGCAACACCCTCTTAGCTGCATCCATGTGCTCTGGTCGGTGTCTCCCAGGAGCAACATAGTGTGCCAGGATGCTAAGAGGGTATGCAAGGTCAGGTCGAGTGCAGGTCATCAGGTACATGAGGCAGACCACAAGCTCTAGGTACGGGCCACTCGGCTCTACGGACTCATCCGAAGGCAGAGCTGAGAGCGAGTGGCGAGTAGACAGAGGAGTGGCCTGAGGCGAGGAGTACGTGAAGTTGAAGCGGTGAAGGACCTGCTGCACCATGTGTGACTGAGTCAAGGTAATGGTGCGCCGTGCTCTGTCCCGGGTGATCTGCAAGCCAAGATAGCTGCGCAGCTCACCCAAGTCTGTGCACATGTGTCTCTTCTGCAGTAGCAAAGACCAAGTCGTCGACGTACACGAGGATGTAGAACGGCGGCAGAGTAATGTCGGTGCGTAGAAACAGCGACGGGTCAGCAGTGGAAGGAGCAAACCCAAGAGCCGCAAGCGTAGTCCTCAGTGTGTCGTGCCACTCACGGGGCGCTTGGCGGAGACAGTAGACTGGCCGCCGGAGGCTCCACTGGGTACCAGGAGGAAACGACCCAGTGAAGCCAGGTGGGCGGCACAGCCAGATCTCCTCGTGCAGGCTGCCTTGTACGAAGGCTGTGCTGAAGTCAAGAGAGTGAAGCTCGTAGTCGCGCTGAGCGGCTATGTGCAGCAGCACCCGAAGAGTGGTCATCTTCGGGGTGGGAGAGAAGGTATGAAAGTAGTCAACTCCCTGCCGCTGACTGAAGCCTCGAGCAACGTAACGCGCCTTGAAGACAGGCGGAGAACCCGGCGGCCGCTTCACCCTGAAAATCCACATGCCATCGACAATGTTCGCCCCAGGTAGGGGAACCTCATTAATGTAAGGGCTTGTGGACTTCCAGGAAGCCATCTCTGCGTCCATAGATGTCTGCCAGTGAGAGGAGTAGGGACCCTCTATCGCCTCTGCGTAAGAGCACGGGGTCGGGATGTCTGGTGCATCCGGGTCTATCTCACGGGCAAGCAGCATGGACATGAGATGAGGTAAAGCAACAGCAAAACACTGGAACTCATCCTGCCTGCCCTCAAGGACGTCCGTGCCAAGAGCACACTCACCCCCGACAGACGGAGGACAGACAGACTCAGTCTCAGCAACAAGACTAGCGGCGTAGTCTAGACGACATGCAGCAGCAAAGTCAACAAGCTCAGCGACTAAGGCAGAGGCAGCTGTGGACTCAAACGAAGGGTCAGTGACAACAGTGGCTAGCAGCCGCGTGACAGTAGGGTGAGCAGCACGAGCGCTGTCAGACTCAGGGTGTGGAACGTCAGGCAGAGAAGACGCAGGAAGGGACGGCAATGGAACACGCTGCGGAGCAGAGGAAGGACGCAGGGCCATGAGGTGTGTGCCGGGGACAGCCGGCGGACACTCACGAGGAACACGACGACCAGTGCGGACAGTGCAAACAGGCGAGACAGGACGAGACGCAGGCTCACGATGCTCAGCAAGACCTCCTGTTTGCTTAGTGTATGGAGAAGGAGCAGGGAGAGGGGAGCCAGGCTATAACGGAAGACGAGGAGAAGACGGGAGGCTAAGAATCCGGCGAAGCACTGAGTCAAGCGGTGGTAGAGACGAAGGTGACGGCGGAGCGAAGAATAGTCACGGCTGTGCACTGCCACCAACACCAGTAGCTCCAGCGCCTCCAGCGCGAGCACCGCCAGCAGCTCCAGAACCTCTATTGCCAGCACCTCCAGCAGCTCCAGAACCTTTAGCGCCAGCACCTCCAGCACCAGCACCGCCAGCGCCAGCACCGTTAGCACCTCCAGAACCTCCAGCGCTAGCACCTCCAGCAGCTCTAGAACCTCCTGCGCCAGCACCTCCAGCGCTAGCACCGCCTGCAGCTCCAGAACCTCCAGCACCAGCATCACCAGTAGCTCCAGCGCCCCCAGCGCGAGCACCGCCAGCAGCTCCAGAACCTCCAGCGCCAGCACCTCCAGCACCAGCACCGCCAGCAGCTCCAGAATCTCCAGCGCTAGCAGCACCAGTAGCTCCAGCGCCCCCAGCGCGAGCACCGCCAGCAGCTCCAGAACCTCCAGCGCCAGCACCTCCAGCACTAGCACCTCCAGCAGCTCCAGATCCTCCAGCGCAAGCACCTCCAGGACCAGCACCACCACCAGCAGCACCCCTAGAACCGGCACCTCCAGCCCCAGAGTCTCCAGCCTCATCGTCTCTAGCGGCAGCACCCCCAAAACCAGTAGTACCTCCAGCCCCTGCAGCTTCAGTACCTCCAGTACGAGCACCTCCGGGGCCAGTGGCTCCAGTAACTCCAGCAGAAGCGCCTCCAGTAGCAGAGTCACCAGCTCCAGCAGCGCGACCCTGACGGCTAACGTACCACTCACGCAGCTGCTGTGAGGAGAGAGGGACAACGTCAACTCCAGTGCCTCCAACCCCAGCGCCTCCCGCAGCAGGGCCCCCAGCTCCAGCAGCGCGACCCTGACGGCTAACGTACCACTCACGCAGCTGCTGTGGGGAGAGAGGGAGACGCCGACGAGAGTGCTGCGGCGAGGCACCAGTGGAGCGACTATGGAGACGGCTGCTCCAGGGAGACTGCTCACCAGACGCCTCAGTGCCCCCATGTGCAGCACCCCCAGACTCCTCACGCCCAGGCTCAGCACCCCCAGGCTCTGCACCCTCAGGCTCAGCAACCCTAGGCTCCTCACGCTCAGGCTCAGCACCTCCAGGCTCCGCACCCCCAGGCTCAGCACCCCCAGGCTCCGCACCCCCATGCTCAGCACCCCCAGAAGCAGCATCCCGAGCAGGAGCACCCCAAGCAGGACAAACTCTCCCCTCGCGCCATTCCTTGCGTCTTCCTTGGCTTTGTCCCTGACGCACCTGGCTGGCAGTTTTACGACCCTGCCTCGCGCCGTGTCTTTGCGTCTCAGGACGTCACCTTTGACGAGTCGGTCCCCTTTTACCGCCTCTTCCCCTATCGCACTGCTCCTCGCCCCCTCCCGCCGCTCTTTCTCGCCCCAGTTCCTCCCCAGGTAGACTCCCTCCCTGCGCCAGGCCCTGCTCCTTCAAGTGTTTCTCAGGTAGATCCTCCCGTCCCTGCGCCTGTTGAGGTCACTGGTGACTCCGGTTCTGGTGGGAGTGGTGTTGTCCCTGGGGGTGCGGAGCTTGGGGGTGCGCAGCGTGGGGGTGCTGAGTCTGGGGTTGCTAAGCGTGAGGAGCCTGAGGGTGTAGAGCCTGGAGGTGCTGAGCCTGCGCGTGAGGAGCCTGGAGGTCCTGAGCCTGGGGGTGTTGCGTCTGGGGGTGCTACGCCTGGGGGTACTGAGTCTGGGGGTGAGTCGCCTGAGGGTTCTGAGACTGTTGTTACGCGGTCTCCTTGGAGTAGCCGTCTTCGTCCGCGTGTGCCTCTCGCCTCCCAGCAGCTGCACGACTGGTACGGTCGCCGTCAGCGTCGCGCTTCTGCGCCTCAGGGCTCTACTGCTGGGGGTTCTTCTGCTGGCGTCACTGGAGCTGGGAGTGGTGCTGGTCCTTTGCCTGCTGGAGGTGCTGGTGTCGCTGGTCCCGGAGGTGCTCGTACTGGGGGTACTGGAGCTGCTGGGGCTGGCGGTGGTGTGTTTGAGGGTACTGCTACTGGTGGCACTGCGGTTGGAGACCCTGGGCCTGGAGGTGCCGGTTTAGGGTTTGCTGCACCAGGAGGGGCTGGAGCTACTGAGGGTGCTGGAGGTGCTGGAGGTACTGGAGCTGCTGAGGGTACTGGAGCTGCTGGAGCTGCTGGAGCTGCTGAGGACGCTGGAGCTGCTGGAGGTACTGGAGCTGCTGAGGGTACTGGACCTGCTGGAGGTGCTGGAGCTGCTGAGGGTGCTGGAGCTGCTGGAGGTGTTGGAGCTGCTAAGGGTGCTGGAGCTGCTGGTGCTGGTGGCACTGCACAGCCGCGCCTGTTCTTTGCTCCGCCGTCTCCCTCATCTCTGCCACCGCCTGACTCCGTACTTTTCCAGGTTCTTAGCCTCCCGTCGTCTACTGGTCTTCCGTTACAGCCTGGCTCACCTCTGCCTGCTCCTTCTCCTTACACTGAGTAGACAGGGGGCCTTGCTAAGCGTCGTGAGCCTGCGTTGGGTCCTGTCTCACCTGTCCGTTCTGGTCATTCCAGTCATCGTGTTCCTCGTCAGCGTCAGCCGGCTGTCCCCGGCCCTTCCCTTGTAGTCCGTCGTCCTTCCTCTCCTCCGCAGCATGTTCCTCTGCCGTCTCCTCCTTCGTCTTCTCTGCCTGTCGTTACGGAACCTGAGTCTGACCGGTTTCGTGCTGAGCACCCTACTGTCACGCGTCTGCTAGCCACTGTTGTTACTGACCCGTCGTTTGAGTCTACTGCTGCATCTGCCTTTGTCGCTGAGCTGGTTGACTTTGCTGCTGCCTGTCGTCTAGACTACGCTGCTAGTCTTGTTGCTGAGTCTGAGTCTGTCTGTCCTCCGTCCGTCGGGGGTGCGTGTGTTCTTGGCACGGACGTCCTTGAGGACAGGCAGGAGGACCTTGAGTGTCTTGCCGCCGCTCCGCCTCATCTCGCAGCCATGCTGCTTGCCCTTGAGGGAGACCCGGATGCACCAGACATCCCGACCCCGCGCTCTTACGCTGAGGCGGTCGCGGGTGACTACTCCTCTCAGTGGCAGACAGCCATGGACGCAGAGATGGCATCCTGGAAGTCCACAGGCACCTACGTTGACGAGGTTCCCTCTCCTGGGGCGAACATCGTCAGTGGCATGTGGATTTTCAGGGTAAAGCGGCAGCCAGGTTCTCCGCCTGTCTTCAAGGCTCGTTACGTTGCTCATGGTTTCAGTCAGCGAGAGGGGGTTGACTTCTTCCAGACTTTCTCCCCCACCCCGAAGATGACCACTCTTCGGGTGATGTTGCACGTTGCCGCTTAGCGTGACTACAAGCTTCACTCGCTTGACTTCAGCACAGCTTTCTTACAGGGCAGCCTAGACGAGGAGATCTGGTTGCGCCGCCCACCCGGCTTCTCTGGGTCGTTCCCTCCTGGTACCCACTGGAGCCTCCGGCGGCCGGTCTATGGTCTCCGCCAGGCGCCCCGTGAGTGGCACGACACACCGAGGACGACACTTGCAGCTCTTGGGTTTGCTCCTTCGACTGCTGACCCGTCGCTGTTTCTGCGCACCGACACTTCGCTGCCGCCGTTCTACATCCTCGTGTACGTCGACGACTTGGTCTTTGCCACTGCTGACACTGAGGCTCTAGCCCTGGTGAAGTCGGAGCTGCAGAAGAGACACACGTGCACAGACCTGGGTGAGCTGCGCAGCTACCTTGGCTTGCAGATCACCCGGGACAGAGCACGCCGCACCATCACACTGACTCAGTCACACATGATGCAGCAGGTCCTTCAGCGCCTCGGCTTCACTTGGTCCTCAACACAGCACACTCCTCTGGCTACAGGTCACTTGCTCTCGGCTCCACCTTCGGACGAGTCCGTAGAGCCGAGTGGTCCTTACCAAGAGCTAGTGGGCTGCCTCATGTACCTGATGACCTGCACTCGTCCTGACCTTGCGTACCCTCTTGGCCTTCTGGCTCGCTACGTGGCTCCTGGTAGGCACCGAAATGTGCACATGGATGCTGCTAAGAGGGTACTGCGCTACTTGTGCAGTACATCGGGCATGGGGCTCGTGCTTGGAGGGCGGAGTCCAGTTGTCCTCACTGGGCAATCAGACGCTTCTTGGGTTGACGACTAGGCTACATAGTGGTCGTCACAGGGTTACACGTTCAGCCTTGGCTCCGGCTCTGTTTCTTGGCGGTCTACCCGCTCGTTTTCTGTTCTCAGCTCCAGTTGTGAGGCTGAGATCTATGCCACAGCCATGGCTGCACAGGAGTTACGCTGGCTCACCTACCTGCTGACCGACCTGGGAGAGCGGCCTCCTTCTCCTCAAGTTCTGTACGTAGACAACAAGGCCGCCATTGCCTTGTGTCAGGAGCACAGACTGGAGCACAGAACGAAGCACATCGCTCTGCGTTACTTCCTGGCTCGAGAGTTGTAGCAGCGGGGTCAGCTTCGCCTTGCTCACGTGGCCACTGGGGCCAACACTGCTGATATATTCACCAAGGCACTTCCGTCTAGTGACCATCAGCGCTTTTGTACTTGGTCCTTGTGCCTACGTTTCCACACTTGCTGTAGTCTCTGCTTGTACTGTGATCTATATATATATATACCTGCGTGCTTTCTCTTGCTAGCTAGAGATGGACTGGCCTTGTGGCCGTTTGCTTGAGCTTAGTGTGTGTGGTGACGTTGTGATCCACCCTGAGCTGTGTTTTGTTTCTTCTCTTGACTGGACTTGTGACCATTGCTTGCTCTGGCTATCCCCCATTTCGCCTATGGGGGTGTGTCAAAACATATGCATATCATTATCTAGGCTATATTGGAGCTAGCCTTAGGGGGTACAGAAACTTTCTCGACACTCTAGCCTTGTACCCCAACCTTCACCTAATCTCATCATTCTTGCCTTAGTTCTTAACATGTGGAACGTCAGTTCTGGTAAGGACTATCATGCATACCGTACGATATTGTGTTGCGTCTGTTGTATTATAGCCCCCACCCACCTAACCTAACACCGAACAGGGATAAACTTGTGCGCTCACACAACCCACCGAAACTACTCCTGCTTCTTCAGGTCACCACACTTCTCGTCCTGCTCATCCATCAGAGGCCTTACATGCAATCACGGAAAAATGCCTCATGAAGTCATTATCACCCCTGCCATGTCATGTCATGTCATGTATTTCCCATGACTCATCATCACCCAATGCTGCCATCGTAAAGGAGAATCTCCACACACGCACCACACCACCCTATGAAAGGACACCTGCTTCTTCAGTCTCACTCCTCCTGCTCCGTTTGCTCGCAACAATCACCACTCAGTAGTATTCAGGGCTGCTGTCGCAAGACATGAACCTCCGCACCTGCACGACCTTATTAAATGACACCTGCTTCCTCAGCTTTGCTCCTCCAGTCCAGTTCGCCGGGGACAAGCACGACTTGATAGGGCTCCTAGCACCCCTCCCATGCGCTGCCATCGCAGCATAACCCATCCGTGCCCCCAAGGGGCCCCTAAAGGAGCCTCCGTCGACCGAGTTTCTCCGCATGAACCGCCGGCCATTCCCTGCCTGCACCCTCACTCCTGTCTCCTCCAAAGCTGTTGATCCCTCCACGCAATCCGCACTCTGGGACCGCGTAAACGCCCGTAGGGTCTGGTTTGTACCCGTTCCCGCCTCGCTCTCTTCCGGAGAAGCAATGAGAGGGTGAAAGGGTGAGAAAGAGGGAGAGGCAGTGTGCAGCACCCCTCTTGCTTGAGGGTCATTTCTTCGGTTAGTGATGGCGGTGGCCCCTGGGGTGGCAGTGTTGTGGAGGCTGGGAGGGATGAGGTGGTGTGAGGGAGGGTAGAGGTCGGTTGGGCTACTGTTGGGATTCAATTCAGAAACACTTCGTTGGTGCCTCTGATTCTGTCCCCGGACCATACCTGTAACCATACCCATCTCTATACCACTGCCCGCACCTGTCCCCATACCCATACCTGCCCCCGTACCTCCCCCCATGCCTGTCCCCATTCCCATACCACTGATACTTGAGGGTGACTCGTGGTAGGACACGGAAGAAGGGGAGATATGGCTAAGGCCATGGGAGGGGTAGCAGTGGGTGCAATCTGGGCAAGAAGCGACTGAGTGAGGGAGATTTGGAGAAGGAAGGGGGTCCTGGAAAGAGGACGGGGGGAGGGGGATGGGGAGGCGGATAGAGGAGGCGCGGTGAAAGTGGCGGGACGAGGAGGGGGAGAGCCTGGGGGAAGAGGTGGGGGAGCGCGGAGGCTTGGAGGGGGAAACGGGGGGACAGGTGGGGGAGGGGGCGGAGGGGAAGGGGGAAGCGCAGGTGGGGGAGTGAGTGGGGGAGGAGGCGAGCAGGGCGAAAGGGGCAGGAGGGTGAAGCGGGGGGGTGGTAATAGGGGAAGGGCGGGAGAATATGGCGGGGATTGGCTTGTGTTGGCTTGAAGGGGAGGAGGGTGGAGAAGAAGTTGGGGCGTGAGGGGAGGATGGCCGTGGGACGGGGTTGGCGGAGGGTTGTTGGTGGGCAGCGGGGGGTGCATGAAGGGAGGCGGAAGGGGAAGGCATGCGGGCGTGGATGGGGATGGAGGAGGCGGGAGGGTGGGGGGGCGCATGGGCGGAGAATGAGGAGTGGGATTGGGGGGAGGGTGGCGGGGAGAGCATAGGAGTGTTCCCCTTTGAGGCCGCATGTGCCGCAGCAGCTTCAATTTGCCCAGCAGGATTCAACCGCCCCCGTTCTCCATCAGCACCCTCGGTATAAGCACTCTCAGCAGCCTCGTTATAAGCACCCTCGTCAAAAGGACTCGCATGATCAGAGTCAGCTCCGGCCGCGGAGCTATCAAACGACACCTGCAGCTGCTTCAGCCGCTCCTGCACCTCTAACGAGAACCTCTTTATCGCGGATGCACCCCCAGGACCACCCCCGGCGCCGCTGCCTCCATTCTTAAAGCTGGATCTCTCCTTAAAGCTGCTGTTCGCGCTGTTGCTGTTACTGCTGCCGCTGCGAGCACCGCTTCGCTGTAAGCTGCCTCGTTGTAAGCCGCCTCGTTGTAAGCTGCCTTGCCGCTCGCGAGGAGAAATCCTTCCAGCAGCTGCACTTCCAGTGGGGGACGCGACGCGGTGTAAGCTCCGGTTTCCCGCGCTTCCGTTCCCCCCGGTCGGCTGTGCCCCGCCGCCCAATCCGCGGAGCATTTCCGCCGCCGCCGCCACCAGCTGCGCCTCTGCGGACGGCGCAAGATCTGCGGAACCTCCTCGTTTTGCGCCTTTCCGCTGCACGGGCCGCGCCATCACCGCTCCTTCGTCGTCGTCGTTGTTGTCAATTTTAATGTTACCGTTACGGTTGTCGTCATCGTTAGAAGTGTTAGCGAAACCGTCAACGTTACCGGAACCGTGAAGGACGCTCCTTATGGGATTACCGGCTCTATGCGCGGCGTTACGGGGAGATATCGTTGCTGCGGAAGCGCCGGATTGCGGGGAAGCTGCGGACCAAGGGGAAATGTCCTCCCCATTGGCGGAAGTTCTTTGCACGGTGAGACTCCGCCGAGGCGGAAGGATGTGACCGGAAACCCCACTCATGTCGGGGGAACGCGCATTGGCGGAGGCGGAACGCGCCATACGCCGCCCGGCAGGCGCGGGCGAATGCGGCGAGGCGGAAGAGGCAGGGAACGCCGCGGAAGACGTGGTGGATGCGGAATGAGGACGAGCCGCGGAAGAGGTAGCGGGAGAAAGGGGGAAGGCGGAAGCAAGAGAAGCTGTATCAGAGGCCGGCGCCGGTTTGTCATTCGGGGCTGGTAATGGCTTCGGCGAGGTAGAAACGGATGCTTCCGCGCCGAGCCCTATACCAGCCTCGAAGGACAAGTGAAAGCCTGCAAACTTGGACACGTCATCATCCACGTGTCCACCAGCGGCCGCTGACACCTCGTCAGTTGAGAAGGGTCCCTTCTCCGCATTCGACGGCGATTCTGGTACACAGATGGCGCGTGAGCCGCGGATTTCCCCGGATCCTGCTGCTTTTTCCGGGGAAGTTCGGCCGCCGCGTCCTGCTTTTTCCCGCGTGCCTTCCGCGGCTCCTCTCTCTGCCGGTGCGGATCTGGCGCTTTTATCACCTCCGCAGATCTCGGCGGGAGCTTTCTCCCACGACATCGACCGCCTCTCGCCCCGCGGGCGGCGGAAGCGGAAAAGGTCGGCGGAAGAGCGCGCAGAGGGGGCGTTCGCGGAAGCGCCTGGTTCGCGGGCTGAACTTCCCCCTCCGCGCAAGAGGCGGAGAAACCCGCCCGCACATTGCGCCTTTCCCTTCCGCGCATTCGTTAGCGTGCGCGGTGATTCCGCCCATCCGTCGGCGTTGATTGCTGCCTCCGCTTCCGCGCATTCGTCCGCGTGCGCGGGGTCATCGCCGCCCCACTCCTCGTCCATGTCCTTCGACGAGGTAGCCTTCCGCCGAACGAGTTCCGCGTGCGGGCTGCGCACGGCGGAAGGCGATGGCGGAAGCCAGGGGGAAGTGTTTTCCGTTGATGTGGGTCCAAGGCCGCGCTCGCTGTCGGGGAGCGACTCGGATGTATCTTCGTCCGCGTATCGTGACATTATTCTCGTAACTGTGTAGAAGAATGAGAAAACAGCTAGTTCGGTAATAGTAAAGGACGGTGACAGAGATCTCCGAGCAATAAATTGGCTGCCGCAAGGGCTCATTTTCCTTTTGAGAGCACGTGCGCCACTCGGCCGGGCCTGGTGACACTCAAATAAAACCGGGTAAAAGCCGGGTAAAATCGTGTCCACACACCGGTGGTGATACAGTATGATGTGAGAGAAGAGACAAGAAGGTCTAAATTCACAATGCGCTTCGATGCAGCTGGGCTTGGGCATCGTGTGAATGGTTACGCGGTAAGATAATAGCCGCATCACGACCGCTAGCGAACGACACTCAAGGTTTTGCCAGCCCGAGGCGACAGAACAAAAATCCCATGTTGCAGCATTGTTGAGCTCACTTGTTGGTCAACTGCGATCCACATGGCAATTTGGCAAGTACTGTACACATGATGCTCAGCCCTTGCACCGAGCACCCGGTCTGCACCCGTGGGTTCTGTGCGATGGCGTTACCCGCACTTTACAAGGACCTCGAGCAAGTGCAGTGATTGGAACCAATACTAACCACAGAAACCGAAGTTTGACTGAAGAGATTGAAGTCTAGGGTTTAGGGTGAGTTACAAATATTTTTTATAAGCCCTTTTTATATAAGTCTAGGGTTTAGGGTGCGAATTGACGAACACTTTGCGAAATAAATTAACCGTTTCTACGTCTAAAAGGTAAGAAATCTTTAGGAAACCCAAACGAGTAACACGTGTATGTCCCCTGCCATCGAGAGGGAGGAGCGAGTCCTGACGAAAGTCAACCATCCATCCAGGAATTCGCTGCCCAGGTTTCATTGCCAAACCACAGTGCACGACTTCGTTTTCGTGGGAAGTGGGAAAGGGATGCCGGAGTTTGTGAAAGTTTCGCAAGGGATACACAAAGGCGCGAACATTTCAACAATTCTTCAACGATTACAGTTCTGTAATGCTATGCGACCTCGGTCAAGTTAAAGGTCAACAACAACTATGGTGCGCGGACTGGTCTCTGCTCGGCAGAGTGGACTCGTCAACGCACTCAAGGTTTGACAAGCCGACAAACAAACAGTGAATGTCGCTCGCTCGATACAGGTCCCTCCGCAACAACGTAAAACATAATCAGACGCGAAATGAAATACACAGGCACACATATATGACCTCTATGATTGCAACCAACCCATGCATAGAGTTGCAAAACAATAGGGGTGTGATGGATGAATCTGTGCTTGCAATGTAATTTGCATTACAAGGCAGTTTACAAGGAAGAAATTAGAATATACTGAACGCATAGTACAACAGGCCCTGGTCTGAACGTATGGTTACTACATTACAGCATTAGTTTAATGAAAATACTAAAACAGTATTCACTTGCAGCTGGATGAGTGAGGGGAAAGGGAAGCAGCAGACTGGTACGAAGGGGCTGGTGCCACCTAACCAGTAAAGGCAAAAATAAAAAAGGGGTTAATAAACCACGCACACACGCACTCGGACTCGTGCTCACACACAGACGCTCATACCATCTTTCCCTCCCCCACCCCCACCCCCACCCCAACCCCCCCCCCCCCCCCCCCCCCCTCCCCCTCCCCCTCCCCTCCCCCCCCTCCTTCCCCCTTATCCCCTCCTATCCCCCGGCCCCTCCCCCCACACACACGCGCGTGAACGTGTGAGCGCACACGCTCAAATCAAACAAACAACAGAAAAAGTACCACCATTATGTTTCGTCAGATGATATGCATGCATGTCATGTCATGTCACACCTTGTCATGTCATGTCATGTCACGCCTTGTCATGTCATGTCATGTGAAGTCACGCCTTGATGTCACGTCTTGTCATGTCATGTCATGTTATGTCTTGTCCACATGTCACGCCTGTTTGACGATCTCACCCCCCAACCAACGCTATCACTGCCCAAGAAGGAAACCTTTCCGCTCGTGTCTCATGCTGCTCACCCATCAGCAGGCTAACTGCCATGCTAGTAACTTGTCTCATGAGTCATCATCACCCCTGCCATGTCATGCTGTGCCATGCCATGTCATGATCCTTATCCCTCGTCATCAACCAATGCTGGCATCGCATATGGGAACCTCCTCACGCACACCACACAATTAAACGACACCTGCTCCTGCTTCGCTCGTCCCTCCCATCCCATGTTAGTCAGGCGTCACTAGCCCAGCCTCCCATACCGATACACTGTCATGTCTACTTCATGCCACATCATCGCCCAATGCTGGCATCGCAGGATGGTAAAGCTCCTCACACACACCACACGGTTAAACAGCCCCTCCCTCCATCATCAGCTTTGCTCCCATCCCTTGTTACTCAGCCCGTCACTAGCCCACCCCTCCCCCACCGGTACACTGTCTATCTCATGCCATGTCATCACCCAATGCTGGCATCGCAGGACGGGAACCTTCGCGCGTGCACCACACAGTTGTACGACACCTATTTTTTGAGGCGCCCAAAAAATTAACGACACCTGCTTCTTCACCTCCAGTTCCATCCCATGCCGTTCGGCCATCAATAGCCAAGCCTCCCATGCCGGTACGCTGTCTACCTCGTGTCTCATCTCATCCTCGTTGATCAATGCTCGCATCACAAGACAGGAACCTTCGCACACGAGCCACGCGGTTAAACGACACCTGCTTCTTCAGCTTCGTGCCTCCCATCCCATGCTAGTGGTCATGCCACCTCATTGACCAATGCTGGCATCGCACGAGGGGAACCTCCTCATGCGGACCACATGGTTGAATGACACCTGCTGCTTCAGCGCTGCTCCCATCTGCTCCCATCTGATCCTGGCCAGCCGTCCAGCCTCCCATGCCAGGCTTCTTAAGCACTGCTCCCATCCCATGCTAGTGGACATGCCACCTCATTGGCCAATGCTTGCATCACAGGACGGGAACCGTCGCACGCGCACCACGCGGTTAAAAGACACCTGCTTCTTCAGCTTCGTGCCTCCCACTCCATTCGCCGGGGACAAGCACGACTTGATAGGACTCTTCGAACCTCTCTCCTGCCCTCCCATCCGCATTCCCAACTCAGCAGCACTACCAGAGCTAGCCCGGCCTCCCAGCATCCCCGCATCGACCGAGTTTCTCCGCGTGACACGCCTCGCTCGCACCCTTTCGCCTGTCACATTCACAGCCACTCTCCCCTCAAAATCCGCACTCTGGGACCATTCGAACACCCCTTCGATCTGCTCCATACCCATACCCATTCCCGCCACAATCTGTCCCGGTGGAGCGATGAGAGGGTGGGAAGGTGAGGAAGGGGGGTAGGTAGCATGGAATGGGTCATTCACTGGGGGGTTGTTTTCTGGGGTGGTGGTGGCGCCGAATGGGATGGTAGAGTTGGGCAGGTACGGAGGGATGAGGTTGTGTGCAGGGGGGTAGAGATCGGTGGTGTCACTCTCAGGAGTTGAGTCAGCGGCAGATCTGTGATGCTGCTGGTGATCATGCCCTTGGAATATACCCATACACATACCAGTACCCATACCCATGGCTGCACCCGTTCCTGCCCCCATACCTCCCACACTGGTTCCCATACCTGCCCCCATGCCTGTCACCATACCTGCCCCCATACCTGTCCCCATGCCATCGGTATGTGAGGCAAACTTCTGGTGGGGCAGGGAGGAGGGAGAATGTTTGCTGAGGTCGAGAGATTGGTGCCGTGCGTGAGAGGGCTTTGGGGAAGGAAAGGGATTCTGGAAGGAGGACTGGGATCGGGGGAGGGGGGAGGCGCGGGGGGAGCGGCGGGACGAGGAGGGGGAGAGCGCTGGCGAACGGGTGGGGGAGCGCGGAGGCTTGGATGGGGACATGTGGGGGCGTGTGGGGGAGGGTGCGGAGGGGAAGGAGGTTGAGGGGATTGAGCAGGGGAAGGTGGGGGATTGGGCGGGGGAGGAGGCGAGCAGGGGGAAGGCGGTAGCAGGCTGATCTGGGGGAGTGGTAAGGGGAGGGGGACGAGAGAATATGGCGGGGACTGGCTTGCGCTGGCGCGAGGGGGAGGCGGAAGGGGAAGACACTAGGGCGCGGGGGGAGGCGGATGGGGGGGCGTGGGGGGAGGACGACCGGGGAAGAGCGTTGGGGGAGGCTGGTGGGGCAAAGGTGCGGGGGGAAGCGGGGGGTGCGCGAAGGGAGGCGGAGGGTGAAGGCATACGTGCGTGGGGGGAAGCGGAGGGGGAAGGCATGCCGGCGTGGGGGGAGGCGGAAGGAGAAGGAAACCGGGCGCGACGACGGCGGAACGGGGAAGAAGCGGGTGCGCCGAGGGGGGAGGGGGAGCGGGGAGCGTGGGGCGCATGGGGGGAGAACGAGGAGTTGGATAGGGGGGAGCGCTCTTGAGAGGCGGAGGAGGCGGGGGACGGTGAGGGCAGAGGCGCATACCCCGCTGAACCCGCTTTCTGCCCTTCCCCTTCGCCATAAGCACCCTCGATATAAGCACTCTCAGCGCCCTCGTCATAAGGGCTCGCGTTATCGGGGTCAGCTTCGGGCGCGGAATCATCAAACGACACTTGCAGATGCTTCAGCTTCTCTTGCACCTCTATCGAGAGCCTCCTTATCGCGGATGCACCATCGGGACCACTTCCCCCGCCGCCGCCGCTGCCGCCGCCGCCGTTATTAGCGTTAGATCTCTCCTTATAGCTGCTGTTCGCGCTGCTGCTGTTGCTGCTGCTGCCACTGCGGACACCGCCTCGCTGTAAACTGCGTCGTTGTAAGCTGTCTCGACTCTCGCGAGGAGAAACCTTTCCAGCAGGAGGGATTCCGCGTGGGGAAGCTGCGCGGTGTAAGTTGCCCGAGCCTCCGATTCCCCCAGTCTGCTGCGCCGCGCCGCCCAATCCGCGGAGCATATCCGCCGCCGCTGCGACCAGCTGCGCCTCTGCGGACGGCGCAAGGTCCGCGGAACCTCCGCGGTTTGCGCCTCTCCGCAGCACGGGACGCGCCGTAACCACTCCGTCTTCGTCATCGTCGTCATCGTCAATATTAACGTTAACGTTGACGTTACGGTTACTGTCAGTGTTAGAAGCGGTGTCTTTCCGCCGACGCGGAAGGATGTGGCCGGAATATCCGCTCATGGGCGGGGGATAACGGCGGGTCTGCGCGTTGACGGAGGCGGATCGCGCGATTCGAGGCACGGGGGCGGGCGAATGCGCCGAGGCGGAAGACGGGGACGGAGCGGCGGGGAACGAGGAAGAAGTGGGGGAGGCGGAGGAAGCGGGGAAGGCGGAAGGAGAGGGGAAGGCGGGGGAGCGTGGCGAAGCGCCTTCCAAGGCCAATTCCTCCTTCAGGGTTGGCGCTTTACTCCTCGACGACGTCACAAAAAAATTGCGGCGAAAACAATGTACATACATTGCAAAGGGACTGTCTGAAGTACCTCTGGGCAACTGTAAGGAATTTTCTCGGCATTCCTTACGGAGCCGACTACTTCGCGTACAGCAACAGCCGTTGTTCGCCCGTTACTGCTAACGGGACTTTGCTGACTTCGCGCGCACTGTTTTGCCAAACCTCGCACTGCTGGCATGGCCGTATCGGCCTACTCTTCGGGACTAGCCCGAGCCTCGCTCCAGCGTAGCACTAGCAAGCTCGCACGCACCGCGTTACCGTTTTGCATGTTTCGCGTATAAATGTTCGCTCATGCCTTCGCTCACATGCTGTACTCGTTTGACACCTTAGTGCAATTCTCGCTACTTCGATTCATTGCACCCGTAACACTTGGTTATCAGAGCCCCTTTCTTTCGGACCGCGCATCTCCGCACACCAGGAAAGCAACTTTTGATTTTTCACTCGAAGGGACTCACGCACCTTAGCCCCTAGGAGCCGCTGTCCTCGCGTTCTCTCGTAAACGCGTGCAGCCACGACTGCGCCTAGACTAAGACGAGCCGACGCCCTTCGTCATGGCTGAGAATATCGACGTCACCACCCTCACGCAGGAGCGTTTGAACGATCTGCTGCGACAGCTGCGCGAAAGTTCCGAGGAAATCGCGGCATTGACGGCAGAACGCTCATCGCTGCAAAATGACCTCACGAGGGCACAATCTCAAGCACCTGGCACTCCGATTCAACCTGCACCCTCGACATCACAACACGGGAGTGTGGGGCAACCCGCGAGCGCGGCCAGTGATGGCGTCGTCCGCCCCGACGGGGACGATGACCATGGCACGACACACCCCGGAGCGACGCATGCGGCCCCAAGTCAGCCTCGCGTCACGATTTCGGCACCAACCCATGATTCGGGACTGCCGTCACCGAGGCCGCTGAAGCCGCAGCGCCCGCCATGTTTTGACCCGAGTCAACGGGGTGGTCCTACCGTTCAGGCGTGGTTGTTCACAATGAATGTCTTCTTCGACGCCAACTACGTCTCGGAGGACTCGGCGAAGATTCGATACGCCGTGTCGCTGTTGCGAGGACCCGCCATGGACTGGTGGCGCGTCATCGTCACGAAGCCGACAGACTACGCGACATTACCGACACGGGAAGGACAAACCGGACCCTGGGCGCCGTCGTATTTCGTGGAGGTGCCCCAGTATCGCACGTGGGATGCGTGGTGCGCAGGTCTGCGCGCTCGATTTGAGCCAATCGCGGCTTCGATCGCGGCGCGACAGAAGCTCCGCACTTGGCGCCAACTCGGTTCCGTCCAGGACTACACGAGCGGATTTCTGGCGCTATGCGAACAGGTGGGCTACATGCATGAGAGCGAGCGCATCGACCGCTACATCGGCGGCCTGAAGCAGGACATCGCTCAGGAAATCCAGCTTCGCGGCGTCACCGAATTTCAGGAAATTCTCGCCATGGCGGAGAAGCTCGACTTCTTTCGCCGACCGAGACCGGGGTCCTACGGAAACAACAACTGGGGACATCGGCCTCGTGGGACGAACGAGAGCGCCACGATACGCGCCGTCGCCGCAAATGCCGCTGCCGCACCGTTCAAAGGGCGCTGCTTTGCGTGCAATCGGCCGGGACATCGCAAGAGCGAATGCCCGGAAAACGCTAAGGGAAAGGGGGAAGCTGAGCAGCAGACACAGACCAAGCAGCAGGGAAACGCTGGAAGTCAGTAGCAGACGGGCCCTCTACTGACAGGTCACGCCGCTCGCCCGACCCAACCGACCCTCACCGAGTGATTGTGCCGGTTCACGCAATCGACCACACCCGGCCGAATAAGGAGGGTGTTAAAATAATTAGAACGTAAGGGCCTAGGCTTAGGAGCCTAGGCCCAACTTAGGTATCGAGTGAGTTGGGCCCAAGGGGGGAGAGTCGAGAGAGTTGTGAAAGGAGAAAAGTGAGTTTCACTATAGGTTCAAAGAACATATAGTATAGGAAACAAAAGGGTGCACCACCTAACAAAATTTGCAATAACTACACTAACTACAGCTACAGGCAGTTACAAATATAAATAATATAAAGTCTGACACTCCCCCATAACTGCCTGCAGCAGAAGTTTGTGCAGAACACAACTTGCAGGGGTACACAAGCTACACAAGCAAGATAATAACCAAGCAACAGCAGGTACTGCAGGCGGGCAGACACTAACTGGTCACCCCCTCCATCACCTCACCCTCCTCCCTCCCCTCCCCCACACTGCTGCAGGAGCAGTAGAGAGGGGGGGAAGAGAGGAGAGGTGGAGGGACGGCTGCTGGTTGCCTCACACCCGTCACCCCGGCGCCTCTCCCCCTGCTCCCCCACACCCTCACACCCTCCCCCCCAGCGGCAGCTGCAGCAGTGGGAACAAACGGAGGAGGAGGGGAAGGGAAGGGTACGACCCACACTCCAACACCCTCCACCCCCATACCCTCCTCCCCGCGGCTGCAGGGAGACAAAGGAGGAGGGGGGTGGGAAGGAAGAAAGCCGCAGAGCGGCGAAGAGGTGTCGGTGCAGTGGTGTCAGGGGCGGCTTCAGGGAATGTAGGTGCGGAGAGCACCGTCGCAGGCGCCAGGGGCGGGTCCGCGGCGGCTCAAGGGCACCGCCACGGGCGCCAGGGGCGGGTCCGCGATGGCGCAGGGCACCGCCGCGGGCGCCAGAGGCGGGTCCGCGGGCGCCAAGGGCACCGCCGCGGGCGCCAGGGGCAGGTCCGCGACGGCAAAGGGCACCGCCGCGGGCGCCAGAGGCGGGTCCGCGGGCGCCAAGAGCACCGCCGCGGGCGCCAGGGGCGGGTCCGCGACGGCAAGGGGCACCGCCGCGGGCGCCAGAGGCGGGTCCGCGGGCGCCAAGAGCACCGCCGCGGGCGCCAAAGGGGGCGGGTCCGCGACGGGTAGAAAATAAAAACGTCACGCGCCCGAGGCGCGTGACCAGAAATTCAGCAGCGGAAGCTTTGGTCGGGCCCACAGGCCAGGACCAACCTGCTCTGACAACCATGTTAAAATAATTAGAACGTAAGGGCCTAGGCTTAGGAGCCTAGGCCCAACTTAGGTATCGAGTGAGTTGGGCCCAAGGGGGGAGAGTCGAGAGAGTTGTGAAAGGAGAAAAGTGAGTTTCACTATAGGTTCAAAGAACATATAGTATGGGAAACAAAAGGGTGCACCACCTAACAAAATCTGCAATAACTACACTAACTACAGCTACAGGCAGTTACAAATATAAATAATATAAAGTCTGACAGAGGGTACCACGGTAGACAGCCCTATACTGCTCAGTGGGAAAATTGGGACGGACTTAGTTAAAATCTTCGTAGATGGGGGAGCCAGCCACAGCCTCATTAACACTGCTACGGCACAAAAACTGCGACTGCCACTGGACAGATGCTTACCTGAGATCGACGCACGATTGGTAGACGGCACGCCACTGGCAATACGGGAACGCGTAGACCGAGTTCGGATTCGATGCGGGGGTAACTTCACATTCAGCCAGGAAATGCTCGCAACAACCCTCGACGGAACCGACATTTTACTCGGGCGTGATTGGCTGCGACGACACAATCCGCGAATCGACTGGACGACGGGTGACTGCACCGTGCGAGTGAACGGTAACAACATCGCCTTACCTCGCTGGGGATCGCCTGAGTCTTCGTCGGTGCGTGTCAATGCGATCACGATGAAACGCGCTGTAGCGGCCGGAGCTGACGTGTACGCGGTTGACATTCGAGAAGCCGAGGCAGCAGACAAGGGAGGGGATTTACAGAATCTGCTGACCGACGTACCGAGTGATCTAGCAGCACTGTTAACACGATACAGTGACATTTTCCCGGATGACTTACCGACGGGACTGCCACCTCAGCGACCGCACGATCACAGGATAGAACTGGAGCCGGGGGCACAGCCAACAGTACAGCGACAGTTCCGACTGACCCAACCCGAACTAGACGAACTAAGGAAGCAGCTCGATTACCTGCTCGAGAAAGAATTCATTCGCCCTAGCTCGTCGCCCTTCGCCGCACCAATACTGTTCACACCGAAAAAGGACGGGGGATTTCGCATGTGCATAGACTACAGAGCACTAAACAGGGTTACCATCAAATCTCGTTACCCCATCCCACGAGCCGACGAACTGATCGACCAACTGCGCACAGCCCGGGTTTTCTCGAAAATTGACCTCCGGGGAGGCTACCACCAAATCCGCGTCAACCCACCCGACTGTCCTAAAACCGCATTCCGAACACGCTACGGATCCTTCGAATACACAGTCATGCCATTTGGGCTGACCAACGCCCCCGCCACTTTCCAAATGACCATGAACGAAGCATTCCGCCCACTTTTAGATAAGTGCGTCATCGTTTATCTGGACGACATACTGATTTACAGCCCTGACAGAGCACAGCACTTACAGGATATCGAAGCAGTTTTTAAAATCCTGAGTGAGAACCGCCTACTGACCAAAGCATCTAAGTGTGAGTTTTTACAGGACCGCCTGGAGTTTTTGGGACATGTTATTTCAGCTGCAGGAGTGGAAATAGACCCGAAGAAAATTGCGACGATTCAGGCTTGGCACGAGCCGACCAACTTGACCGAGTTGCAGAGTTTCCTGGGATTCGTCAACTACGTGCGCCAGTTCGTCCCCGACATGGCGAAGCTGACTGCCCCGTTGACCGACCTGCTGAGGAAGGGGGTTGAGTACACGTGGGGGGAGAAAGAGCAAGCTGCCTTCT